TTTTTTTTTTTTTTAAAAAAAACTACAATAAACATGTCAAAGGCTTCTTTTTTATTGCATATTTATGATGCCTTTTCTTTTAATTGAAAATATACTTTCAATGTTTATTTTTATACTTGAGTCCTAGTATTATATTTTGTTTATAACTAATATCATCATACATGTTAACATAATTTATCATGATTCGCACAAACCTGTCAACGGTTTTGCTATGGAGCAATCGAATGACTCGGCTTATGGAGCTATTTATAGTTATTCACAAATGATGTATTGACACGTATTCTGCAATAAATGTACATTAGACATGTGTCAGTACATAAAGTTATAGATGACTCCGATAGCTCCATAGAATTTCTAGAACTGTCGATTACTTCAACCACGTATTTTTGTTGCAAAGAACACATTTACTACTAAATCTTCTTAGAAACAGTCTTCTCAATAATATTTTATCTCGACGCAACATATGTTCAATCCAGTCACAAAAATCTCCGTGTTTCTAAAATTGTTTATAATATAGAAATTTTTCCAGATCAGTAAGCGCTAAAAACCAATCATAATTTACAAACCAGATGAATCAAAGTGGACGACATTAAAACCCCCCAAGAACACAAGTAGTTACGCTAACAACATCATCTATAGCCCATTTACTACAAGTCAACAATACACTTCGACAAAACACCATCTGTATCTCAAGGGAAAATGACGAGCAAACCATCCACCCGAACAAAAAACTGGAAATCAATAAACACCTGAGTGGTAAAAAGATCCAGCATTGCCATGCGAAAATACATTTTATAGGGACACTGTAATCAAATCTTTGAATCTCTTTTTTTTTTTTCTTTACAGAGGGGCTGAGGGCTCGGATTTGACGTGATTCGAGACATCCGTTTGGTTCGTGGGATAGATAAGGGCGGCAAGCGAAATAGGCATGATGCAGAGTGATTTTGACTGAAGCAACTGCATTGCAGCCCCCACATCCTCCTCCATGAGTTTAGCCACCTCACTCTCTGTGTCCTCGTTCGACCATTTTTCCCACATGTGCTGGTTTTCACTGGTATCGTCCTAAAAAGAACAAAATCGAGGGAAAAAAGGTTTTGTGGTGTAAATATATTAGAAACTAATATGCCAAAAAGAAAAACAGCTTTTGTTAAAAGGCTGTAGTAATTAGAAGGG